AGCTATCTAATCTCTGACCGTCCGTTGCTTAACTTCCGTGATGTAAAACATCACTTCCGTTTGCAACCACGCAGATGGGATGGCTCTGTTGAGTCGGCAACAGCACCTAAAGACGTAACCGGTAGACCGAAGTACGAATCCATCAAATATGCCGAGACTTTGTTCTTACTTACAGTGACACACTGTGGTAATTCCGATATGAACGGAAGGAGAGGAAAGGAAAGGAAGGAAAATTCATTGGTATCATTTGTATATGATACCTTTTATTCATCATCATTCAACCCACACTTCTCATTCATCCGACATATTCTCCTCCTCTGTAGGGTATCTGTTGTTTCGTCATCAGCAGTACCCGTACCCGTTGTACCAGATTATGTGGTTCTCTGGATAGACCCCATGTCAAATCATACCAAGGACTAGCCGAGAAGTGGATTGACATCACCACTTTATAGTCCAGGCAGACTAGAGGTACTGGTAGAACCTCTTTACCCCGGGATTGCAATACACCATGATGAGACATTTCATCATGGAAACATGCCCGGGGGGAGTCCACCAGATTATTGAAGCATAAGCTAGAATTGGTCTAATTACACCTATAGTTCATCTTGCCCAGGACTTGACTTTCTTGTGAAAAGACAGATTTCCGTCTTCGCCGGATTTGACATTGTGGCTTCTCGGTTGAGCCCAGCTAAAGCCGTATTCAGAGCCTCCTCAGCTCTGCTGTACAAGTAATTTGAATTCTTTGCCTTTAACAGTATTATGAAATCGTATGCATAGCAGACAGGTCTTTTTATCAGTTAGGGTCCTTAGGAGGCTATTGACCGTAGTAACCAAGAGTAAAGATGACAAAATGCCACCCTTTGGTATACCGCGAAATACCTTTTTCCTGATAGTTATATCGTACATTTCGCAGCTTATCCATTTGTTCCTTAGCATGTAGTTGATCCAGTTACGGAGTAACCGGTCAACATAAAACTGGTCTAGGGATTGGGTAAGAGTATCAGTGTGCACATAATTGAAGGCAACCGTTCAACATAAAATTAGATATAGATTGGATAAGGGTATCAGTGTCCACGTTATTGAAGGCGCCTTCGATGTCAATGCATACCAGCAGTGTATACAGTTTGCTATCAAAGGATTCACCTATGAAGTGGACAACTTCGTTTAAAGCGGTTTCTGCCGATCGTCCCTTTTCATAAGCATTTTGCTTAAATTTAAGGTTTTTGTCTGATATACTGACTGCTTTTAACCATACTATCGACTATCCATTCCAAGGTTTTAAGTAGGAAGGATGTAGGACTTGTCGGTCGTTAAGACTTAGGTGTCGCATAGCTAAATATGGTGTATATGTTTGATACAGATGTACGGAAACCAGCAAAGTTCCTCATAAAGCTTTTAATAGAAAGTTTTCACTAGAAAATCGTCATCAAAATAATAGAAACTCAACATCAAGGAAGTCATTAGCAACAAAGTTTGGTGTAAAAAATCATAAACGTGAATGTTTTCAGATAAAGTTTATCATCAAGAATGATTATTAAAATATGTTTTTAAAGAAAATATCAGTAAATTTTTTTTGGAAATTTTAAAATAAGATTTTTTATAAAAAAAAACTCCGCCAATATTTTCCCTCCGAAATCATCATTAATAATTATTGCATTAAATCAAACCTCATTATGAGAATTGAATTACTGAATACCACATACCATTTACAGCATAAGCTGCATAAACCCAAACATCAATATTAACATTCATCATACGCCACATATGAAAAATCTGCCAAAAAAAACCCAAACACATACACATAACTCATACGCTATGTGGTTCTATAATGAATGAAGAATGAAGAAGCTTATAGAAAACAATGTGTCAAATTTTGAGTTAATTACAAGGAAACAATTTAATACTTTTTTTTAATAAATATTTTAACATTAAATTAAAAAAAAAATGTTGCCAACACAATTTATGTATATATAAAAATTAAGTGTTGAGAAAATTATGCAAATATTTTGTTTAAATAAAAGTGAAAAATCATAAAAATATATTTAACATTTAACAGCTATTAAAATGTAAAATAAAAAAATAAAAAATACATGCAACAGAAATTGTATGCATGAGCAAATATATCGATATAATTAATTTCACAACATGAAATTCAATAAGCAGCACTTGTCTGTGTATGTCTGAGAGCTGTTAAAAATAATAATAAGCAATTTAAAAAAAATGTATATACATTTAAGGACAAAATAAGGCATAACTGGCTAAGTGGACTTAAGATATTATAAATTTAGTTTTTTGAAAGGATATTAAAAATAAGTTTTCTTTAGTAGAAATGTAAACTTTTGAAAAGTAAAATTTTCCATTTAGTTGGTTATGGCTTGTGACCATAACTTTAACGAATACTATACAAATGTAAAAGGCAAAACTACTTGAACAATTGCTGGAGAAGAACAAAAAAAAAAACAATAAGGAATATAAAATAAATACAAATACATTAAATGCAATAATAACTGCAACGACAACAAGACCAACACTACTGCCTGAATTTCTGTTTGTTGATTGTACAGCTGCAGAGACAACAACTGAATACACACATACAACTTTAGCTACAACTGTATATGTTTTATATATCGAATTGATTTTACTTGTAGATATCACAATTGCATAAATATGTGTGATAGTAAGAGATGAGGTTCAGAGATGAGTTTAATGTCGTAAAATCGTACGTTGACAACATGCAACATTTGCACATTGTGAGGTGACAATTTTACGCAACATAAAATTTTAATTAATTCGCATTTTATTGCAAAAAGCAGACATTCAACACAGACACCGGAATATATTTACAGCTACACTTACAAACACAAACACACACACACTCACTCACTACTTGCATGAATTACTTGCTGAACAACAGAAGAAGCAAATGACTAAAACAGCATTTCCTTTCTCTTCCCTTCCCACATTCAACAGGCAGAGAAAGGTCAATATTAAATTACATTTATAAATACTGAAACAGACATCACTCCCACGTATGTATAATAGGCACCTCAAACTCATATATGTTCATGTAATTTTGCTCTCGTTTCCCCTCTCTCTCTCTGTACTATCGCTGATATAAACATAACAATTTTAGTGGTTTAAACAGTGTTTACACGTCGCTACGACTACAAACAGATAAACACTCTTCACTATTAATGCACAAAGGTAACTGTTAGCAGTAGATGAAATAGTTATAGGTACAGGTTAAAATCTATATACATATATCAAAATTAATGTGTATTTATGTGTTAAAAGGCTAGATCGATTTACTTAAAATGTTCAGGGTAACTATAGGGGGAGCTGCCACGCCCCTATACAAAACTTAGAAACTTTAACAGAAAATTTTGTGTGGACAACTTTGACATCCTTATGAAGATATGGGGAGAAAATGGGCGACCTAGCTATAGTGGGCGTGGTCTCCTAATATCAAAAAAATCTGAAATAATTATATCTGACAAAATATAACCGCTATAGTCCTTTTTGGAGCCATTTTAGTATCAACATAGAACAAACATTGGGCGCTTCAGCATTTGAAAGCGTGGCACTTCCCATATTGATTAAATACAAAAATTAATTTATCTGGAAAACTATTTTATCTAGAATCTTCAAATTTAAGAACTTTAAAATGCATGTAAACGATGGGGGGAGAAAATGGGCGGACTGTCATTAGAGGAGTTTGGAACTTCCCATATGAATAAAATACACAAATTGGTATATTAGAGCTAAAATCCTCCAAATTTGCACAAACAACATTGACATTCATGTGAACATTTAGGTAATAATTTGGTGGACTAGCAATAGAAGGCGTGGCACCTTCCATATAAATTAAATACAAAAATGTATAAATCTAAGAAACCATTAAAGTTAAAATTTTGGGCGAAAAACTTTTCCAGCCATTTGAATAGTTGAATAGAAACAGATAGATTAGGAAAAGGGGGCGTGACAACTCCTATATTAATTGGATACTATATTAGAGCTAAAATCCACAAAATTTGCACAAACTATATTGACATTCATGTGAATACTTGGGGGAAAAGTAATAGAGGGCGTGGCACCCCCCATATGAATTAAATACAAAAATGAGAATATCTGTGGATCAATTAGAGGTATAATCCTCAAATTTTGGACGAAAAACTTTCCCAGCCATGTGAATATTTGAATAAAAATTTATAGATTAGGAAAAGGGGGCGTGACAACTCTCATATGAATTAAACACAAAAGTTCCTTTATCTGGGAAACTATTAGAGATAGAATTTTAAGATTTTGCACGAAGAACTTTGAAATACATTTGAAAATTCTTGATGACTGTCTATAGAAAACTTCCTTGATGATGACTTTCTATAGAAAACTTCCTCGAATTATGATTATTTTCTTTTTTCTTTCTTGATGATGATTTCCTAAAGAAAACTTTCTTTCTAATGATATTCTATAGAACACTTTTTTTTATAATTATGATTACTATTATGAAAATCGTTCTTGATATTGAGTTTTTAGACAAAACTAAAGGTTAACCCCGCGAAGACTGAAATCTGTCATTTGACATGAATGACGAATATTTCTCAACATATTTGAAACTTGTTTATGGGCAAGAATACATCAGTGACCGATAAAGTTAAGTACTTAGGACAAGACGTCTCATACGCAAGAGCTTTTATTAGGTGATTCTAAATAGAGGAGCACGAAAAGCCTCCTTAGAATAAACAATTCAGAGGTTAATACCAGTATTCTGTTATCCTATAATTAGTTAACAAACTGTAAACGGTAACCTACACCCTCAAACAAATACCAAAATATATTTATGTTTACATGTATCTGTCTGTTCGACTGCCTTCAGCATAACAATCATACATGTACCCAGTCTTCCCAGTCTTAAAATACAACAAACTGGCACCATAACTCTGTTTCTGGTGAGTTCTGTATATGTTAATAATTGTCAATTAAATACAGTTAAATACACTCACCATCAAATGAATCAAAGAAACCCACACGTATCACCGATGGATTGGGTTGTAGGAAAGGATATCCCGAACCGGTATCGATGACACCTTTAAAATTTGTAAAATCATCATCAGCAGTATCATCGTCATCATCAGCTCGTGTTAAAACACGTCGTGGTCCACCAATTACTTCAGCATCCTCAGTGCGTGCTGCAAGAGAAAAATAGAAGAAAAGAATTGATAAAAATAAATAATGAAATTTTATTTCGATATATGAAAAAAAAATTTTTTTTTTTGGAAAATACATAAAGTTATGAGTAGTAGTAGAGGGGTAGTTTGTAACCGTGAAAGACAATTTCATTGTTTGAGCAAACATTTTTTTATTCAATTATCTTTGTAGCAGTTCATCATAGTAAAAGACACAGAAGAAATTGACTAAATTATAATAAATTAAGATTTTATTTTGCTGTTGTTATCGTTATTTTTATTATGGTTAATAAGGTTGTATTTCTTTCAGGCATCAAATGCTAAAAGTTGGCGATGTTGGTGGTTTAATTACTAGGACATGATAAAAGAAAATCGTTATTCTGTACAATAACAATTTTTTTTTTTATTTTTTATGTGTGTGTGTGGAGTATGACCTCACATAACCTTGACTCAATCTCCACCTTGTTCTTGACATATCAACTCATTCCCACTGTATCGCTCCCGTAGAGGAAAATTACCCCAATATATGTATGACTATCAGTAAGTTTTCATCAAAAAGGTTTTCTATAGAAAATCTTCATTAAGAAGCTTTTCTATAGAAAATCTTCATCAAGAAGGTTTTCTATAGAAAATCTTCATCAAGAAAATTTTCTATAGAAAATCTTCATTAAGAAAATTTTCTATAGAAAATCTTCATCAAGAAAATTTTCTATAAAAAATCTTCATCAAGAAAATTTTCTATAGAAAATCTTCACCAAAGAGGTTTTCTATAGAAAATCTTCATCAAGAAGGTTTTCTATAGAAAATCTTCATCAAGAAGGTTTTCTATAGAAAATCTTCATCAATAAGGTTTTCTATAGAAAATCTTCATCAATAAGGTTTTCTATAGAAAATCTTCATCAAGAAGGTTTTCTATAGAAAATCTTCACCAAGAATGTTTTCTATATAAAGCCTTCACCAAGAGTGTTTTCTATAGAAAATTTTCATCAAGAATGTTTTCTATAGAAAATGTTCATCAAGAAAGTTTTCTATAGAAAATCTTCATCAAGAAAGTTTTCTATAGAAAATCTTCATCAAGAATGTTTTCTATAGAAAATCTTCATCAAGAAAGTTTTCTATGGAAAATCTTCATCAAGAATGTTTTCTATAGAAAATCTTCATCAAGAATGTTTTCTATAGAAAATCTTCATCAAGAATGTTTTCTATAGAAAATCTTCATCAAGAATGTTTTCTATAGAAAATCTTCATCAAGAATGTTTTCTATAGAAAATCTTCATCAAGAATGTTTTCTATAGAAAATCTTCATCAAGAATGTTTTCTATAGAAAATCTTCATCAAGAATGTTTTCTATAGAAAATCTTCATCAAGAATGTTTTCTATAGAAAATCTTCATCAAGAATATTTTCTATACAAAATCTTCATAAAGAAGGTTCTCTATACAAAATCTTCATCAAGAAGGTGCTATATAAAAAATCTTCACCAAGAATGTTTTCTATACAAAATCTTCATCAAGTGGATCTCTATACGAAATCTTCATCAAGAAGGTTCTCTATACAAAATCTTTATCAAGAAGGTTCTCTATACAAAATCTTCATCAAGAAAGTTTTTTTATAGAAAATCTACATACAAAATCGTATCTTTTGGATAGAAAATCTTTATTAAGTATCTTTTCTATAGAAATTTTCATTACAAATTTATCAAATAATTTGTTTGCTTTCATTACTTTTGTAATACAGTTTTTTTTTTTTCAATAAAACTTTTAGACTTAATTATAATTAAATCCCTAATCAGATAATAAAATAAATTGAAAACAAGACTAATATTCTCTTTATACAACAAAGTGAAATTATTCAAAAATTTTAATTGAATTTCTTTTAACAACATAAATATTTGTTTCAAATGAAAGGCAACGATTAAGTTTGAAACATATTTAACAAGTTGAAATATTTATTAATAAATTTAATTGACACAACACTCTGCTTTTAGAAAAAAATATATACATACAAACAGATTTTATTCAATCAGTCAACAACACTCAATCATATAAAACAAAACTATAAACATACATACAAATAACTTTTTTTATATTAAGCAATTTATAAAGTTGATTAATTAAAAACTTTATGAAAACACATAAACAAAACCTCAACTAATACTACTACTACGTTCGTTCTTCTTCACACAAAAGTAATAGTAAATTGTTAGCATACTTTTGTGACACCCACAACATTTGCCACTTCAGGTCCATTACAAAATTATTTGAGGTTTTTAAATGATTTGTATACTTTTATCCAACCAACCACCCCTTTCTCCCCATAAGAAAATTTATTAAAATAACATTCACAAAAGGCAAATAAGAAACAATGTTGTCACAAAACTAACAAACCCTTAAAAATATTTCTAAGTCTGCGTGCCCGTGCGTCCGTCTGTTTGTGTTATTGTTGTAGCCACTCAACACTTGTCTAAGTTTTAAAGAACTTGCTAGACTTAAAATTTTAAGCAAATTTTTTTGTTGTAATTATGTTAATTTCAAAGTTTTTATTATTTTTGCACAAAAAGAAAAGGTAAAGAAGTCCTTAAATAAAAAACACAGCCAAAAGCTAAAATTTTTATTTATAAGCCAAGACAGGTGTTAATGGTTAATGAGTTGATTGTTTCTTTATTGGTTTGTGTTAGTGTCCCAAAACTGAAAATTAATTTCAAATACCCCAAATACAAATGATTTTGTAAATGAAATAATTAAAATTGTATTGTTTTGTTTAAATTATTAATTGTTATCTTTTGCCTGTCATTATCCTTGTTCAAAAGTAATAATTCATTATTTTTCATAGATGGTGGTGCGACATAAAAAGGTTTTCTCTCTAAATCCTTTTGATTCATTTGCATAAATATTTCTTACAATATTTTATAATTATAAAATAATGTAAATTTTTTGTTTCACTTGTTTTCGTGTTCATTTGTGCGTTATTAGCCTAGAACAATATCAAATTTTTAACATTATGTGGAAAGGTGATGTTTTGTATGTCTTGTGGGATCAATTGGAAAGTGGAGAGAATAAGGATTCTTCATTTATATGGGGAATTAATAAATGCCCCAAGAAAGAGCTACCAATCGAGCTAAATGTATAAAACAGGAACAGACTGTATAGCAGGTATATATGTATGTATGGATCCTAGAAGAACAAACGATCGCAGCATGATCATGCTATGAAATCCGGAAAATATGTCAAAATCAGACCAAGTAATTGTAATTGATTTACAAAAACCTAGGATGCAACAAACTAACTAACTAACTAACTAACTAACTAACTAACTAACTAACTAACTACTAACTAACTAACTAACTAACTAACTAACTAACTAACTAACTAACTACTAACTAACTAACTACTAACTAACTAACTACTAACTAACTAACTAACTAACTACTAACTAACTAACTACTAACTAACTAACTAACTAACTAACTAACTACTAACTAAACTAACTAACCTAACTAACTAACTAACTAACTAACTAACTAACTAACTAACTAACTAACTAACTAACTAACTAACTAACTAACTAACTAACTAACTAACTAACTAACTAACTAACTACTAACTAACTAACTAACTAACTAACTAACTACTAACTAACTACTAACTAACTAACTACTAACTAACTAACTAACTAACTACTAACTAACTAACTAACTAACTAACTAACTAACTAACTACTAACACTAACTAACTAACTACTAACTAACTAACTAACTAACTAACTAACTAACTAACTAAACTAATACTAACTAACTAACTAACTAACTAACTACTAACTAACTAACTAACTAACTAACTACTAACTAACTAACTAACTACTAACTAACTAACTAACTAACTAACTAACTAACTAACTACTAACTAACGAACTAACTAACTAACTACACTAACTAACTAACTAACTAACTAACTAACTAACTAACTAACTAACTAACTAACTAAACTAACTAACTAACTCAACTAACTAACTCACTAACTAACTAACTACTACTAACTAACTCTACTAAATACTAACTAACTAACTAACTAACTACACTAACTAACTAACTAACTACTAACTAACGAACTACCTAACCTAACTAACTAACTAACTAACTAACTAACTAACTAACTAACTAACTAACTAACTAACTAACTACTAACTAACTAACTACTAACTAACTAACTAACTAACTAACTACTAACTAACTAACTAACTAACTACTAACTAACTACTAACTAACTAACTAACTAACTAACTAACTAACTAACTAACTAACTAACTAACTAACTAACTAACTAACTAACTAACTAACTAAACTACTAACTACTAACTAACTAACTAACTAACTAACTAACTAACTAACTAACTAACTAACTAACTAACTAACTAACGAACTAACTAACTAACTAACTAACTAACTAACTAACTACTAACTAACTAACTAACTAACTAACTAACTAACTAACTAACTACTAACTAACTAACTACTAACTAACTAACTACTAACTAACCTAACTAACTAACTAACTAACTAACTAACTACTAATAACTAACTAACTACTACTAACTAACTAACTAACAACTACTAACTAACTAACTAACTAACTACTAACTAACTAACTAACTAACTAACTAACTACTACTAACTAACTAACTAACTAACTAACTAACTACACTAACTAACTAACTACTAACTAACTAACTAACTAACTAACTACTAACTAACTAACTAACGAACTAACTAACTAACTAACTACACTAACTACCTAACAACTAACTAACTAACTAACTAACTAACTACTAACTAACTAACTAACTAACTAACTAACTAACAACTAAACTAACTAACTACTAACTAACTAACTAACGAACTAACGAACGAACTAACAAAACGTAACTAACTAAGAACTAACTAACTAACGAAAGAACGAACTAACTAACGAACTAACTAACTACGAACGAACGAACTAACTAACTAACGAACTAACTA